ATGAATCTAATGTTTCCCAATTATGAGTTTGTATGAATTTTAAATCTGATGATGGCGCTGTTGTCTCGCCGAAACATAGCGAAATAAACGATATACAAAAAAATGTTTTGTTTCACATTGTGACTGAAACCCAGGAAGGATAAGCATTTAAAATTCAAATTTGCGAATTTGGTAGATTTTTTGTTCTGGTGACGTTTAGAGATCGCACGGTTTCGTATCATTTAGGGTAGTTTCTGCACAATGAATGTAAGTATCAACGTCGCCGCTTTGCCCTAATTAACTTGACCAAAATTGCATGTTGTTGCTGGTGAAATAATAAACTAGTTGAAAATGCCCCACTAACTTGTAAAAAGTACATTTTTAGTGCATTTTCAACGATTGTTAAGTGAGCTTTCAATGCGCCGACGAATGTGTAAACGTTTCAATAACATTGATTTGACTTAATAGAAGTTCGTCAGCCTATTGATACTAACTCGAACTCGAAAATGCCTGTAAAGACAAACAGACTGGAAATCGAAGGATCCTTTGAAAACAACAGGACGATTCGACTGAATTTCGTTTAAAATTGAACAGTTTTGTTGTCTTTAACGGCATTTAGTGCTACTGAAATATTTTGACCTCAGCAGAATTGTTAAGATTTTGCCCTTCATTGATTGGCTTATTTATTGGCAGTACTATTAATAGTTCACCGACCGTGTCAAAATAGTTCAAAGTAAAACTGGTGCGTTTTTCAAGCTGTTAGGCCGTCGGGGACCAGAATTTGTTCCTGGCGTTTCGGAAGCACGAACGGCTCTCATCTTCAGAGCAGCACCCCTCTGAAGATGCTAGTCACTCGTGCTTGCGAAACGTCAGGAAGAAATTATTTTCTCAAAAAAAAACAAGTTCACAAGCAACGATCGCGAAAGCCTGACTCTTGATAATTCACTTTTGCAACATTTTTCCAGACTTTCATAGTTCTCATGTTGTTTTTTATTTCATCGTTTAGGCTGAGGCTCGTGCTGAATTCGCGGAACGTTCAGTCCAGAAACTGCAGAAGGAGGTCGACAGACTCGAAGGTAAGTGAACATACACCTAAAAACTTTGGTCGAAAAATGCCGGAAATTTAATCGTTGATTAGACTATTCGATGTTAGTGTTGGCAACCTATTGGCTGGTTTTTCGTCCGTAATTTATCAGACTCACCTCGTAAGAGGAATGGATGCATTCGCAAGAAATCGAAGGCGCTCGGCTGTCTTCGTTGCTATGCTGAGAAGCCAGAGTAACAAAGACAGTCGTACGAAACCAGCGGGTAATTTTTGAGCTGCGCGGTATACGAGGGCAGATCGTGAAATAAAAAACTGCTCATTGGTTGACAACGCTACTAAAGCTACAATACATTTCACAATAAACACACGGTTTTCTTGAGCTAATGTTTTCTGCTCTTAATCCAGCCTATTTGTTTGAACTAATTTGTTTTTATTTTTTTTTTTAACTTTTAACCACTCCTCAGACGACCTCTTAGCAGAGAAAGAAAAGAACAAAGTCCTCGCAGACGAAATGGAAGCCACATTACATGACATTCAAAACATGTAGACCTGCATAGTCTTTAAGCTCGCGGATACATCGGTTTACTATTTGCTACATTCAATTTTCACGTGTCCTCTACACATGTTAGGGAGGCTTTTTGCCTTGCAAAGTGCTAATAACGCGACTCCGGGAACGTTTTTAGCCCTCATTAGCTCAGGAGATGTATGAAGCCAAAACATTCCAATAGGACCAATTTTTCCAGTAAATGATATGCCGATTAAGCAACAGGCTGAAGAAAATTTTTATTTGGTGCTTTTTCTTTATAAAATTTAAGGATTTGCTTTGGAAATGGTGGGCGAGTTTGCGGCGCAAACTTGCGCATCATTTCTGAACTTGCGGATTAACTCGACTATGTGTGTAACAAAACCGGATATAGACGAGTTATGGGGAACATATTGTCGCACAAAGGGACACACTTCGGGCGTATAATCATAGTTCATTTTTTTTCGGACCTTCAATCAGTAAACTTGTTGGGTTTCTAGCTAACGTTAATATTCCGGCCGTGTTTTTGCTTCTTAAAAAACTTGTGGTTTCTTGGGGTTGGGTCCGTTTTAGTTGCAATATGAACGTTAAACCACCACTGCCATGCCTATCGAAGAAAAATGGCCGTTTTTACTTATTTACATGCGACCACTTTTCCTGTTTCTTCGATGAGGGAAACGCAAAAGAAATATGTTCGATTGTCTCAGTGTTAGTCAAAAACTTCTTTTTTTTGCTTTTTTTCGATTGCCGATCGTTTTTGAGAAATTGATTTTGGACTATATCGTCTTTCGTAATAAAAAAAACGTATTAAAGTATTACATTTATTGATAAATAAATTCTATTTTAAAGCCCTTATTGTTTATATTTTCTAATATTAAAAATGTATTTTTATGTAGTTATTATCTAATTAATTGATTAATTATATGTTTTTAATTCATTTAATTTTGTTTTGTTTTTTAGTACTGCTTTTCCCTAATTTCCTTTTTTTTTTTAATAATTTGTTGTTGTTTTGCATGGATTTTTGAGTGTTTGAATCTAAACCATTTTGAGTGGGAATGGCAAGTAAGTATTTTATGGGGATGAAAAGCACACAGATGGATGGACGATGGTTTAAGTCAAGGTAAGATATTTTGCAGCTTGCAGTGTTTTACTAAAAGAGACACAGCCAATCCACATGTAGAATTTTTGTTTTTTTTTTTTAATTTTATTTATTTTTTGTTCTTGTACAGACGAGCTCGTGGCCGAAAAGGAGCGTTACAAGGAAATTGGAGACGACTTGGACACAGCCTTCGTGGAACTTATCCTGTAAATTTCCCTTTATGTTGTCCCCTTATATTTTTTTCAACTTTTCATGTCCTGTTCGTTTGGTAAACATGTGCGATGGTTTTGTCCATTGGCCACATTGAAAGCGACTCTTTACAATCACCATCGGGCAATGTGACAAAACTATGGAAAGCATGCGATTTATCCAAGAGCAGGGCGTCTTAGTTTGAAACTTGATGTTCTTTTTGGTTGTGTTTAGTTACTATTATGTTTTATTAACTTGTACTTTGACGGGAATTTGAATATATTTATTTATTCACTACTTTTTTTGGTTTTTTTTTCAGACAAATAGGCCTTTGGAACAGTAAAAAATATGTTTATTTCAAGTACTGTTTACTTAGCTCAGACAAACTGTTCTGGGCCATTTTAGCATAGTCGCGCACCATTTTTGTATAATCGGCTACCACTTTGTCCATGTACTTGATCACCTCTTTGAGCACTTTGTCCAGGTCCGTAGCTTGTTTTCCCAGCGTTGTTTTAGCCTGTTCCAGCACGTTGCTTAGTTGATCTCTGGTGGTTTTCCACGCGTTGCTTATCGCTTGGGACGCGTCCTTTTCCGCACTACTTATAGTTTGTTGGTAGCTTTTTATTGCGTCTGAAACTGTTTTTTTAGCTTCCCTACAAACATCGGGATGAGCGAGATGTTTATTTAACTGGTTAAATTGGTTGCTTACTTGTCCGTAGTTTTAGCAAGCGATTGGCACTCAGCTGCGGCTTCAGCCACCATGTCATCCATCCGTTTTTTCACGTCTTCAGTGGCTTGTTGGATGGTTTGTTCCGTGGCCGATTTAAGTCCATTAAAAGCGCGCATACTTTCGTCTATAATCGCGTTCATCAGTTGGAGCGTCCCCAAGTCTCTTTCCGTCATTTTTCCAAATTTTCTTCAGCAGTTGAGGAGCTACTAGAATTTCAGTGTTTGGCTGGATTGGAAAAATGACGTGCGCGTCATTGAAGTTTGTGGCTTTCCAGGTGCGGAATAACTGGAAAAGCTATAAATTTGAAGGGACCAAGTTTGGTAACTTGAACTGGTTTTTTGATTGATTTGAGTTGATTTTCTTCTTAGATGATTTGGTTTTGGAGAAGAGCAAATTCAAAGCCATCGCCGACGAGATGGATCAGACTGTGGCCGACTTGGTTGGCTACTGAAGCCAAAGCCCCCAAACCCCCACCACTGCCTTCTTCACACCCCCCACTCATCGAGTGATGGTATCTCAGCTACCGGAACGTTGTTAGTACAACGTGTAACTCTAGCGATTAGATTAATTTTATTCATTGCTTTGTTGCTGATTCATGTCCCCTGAGCATCAGTAAATATCAGTGTGTATAAACTCGAGCTTACGGGTTAAAAAAAATAATTGGTGCGGTATTCGTTGCCCCGTTGTGAGGGTTTGCTTTATAAGTTAACATACTTTGTGCCACATTCAAGCCAAAAGRGTAAATTTATTTTTTCCAGCAYGTTTCTTTCATATTATCMACGTGTGTGTGTTCCCTTTTTTGTTCCTGGCTATTTGCGAATACAGAAAATTGTTGCTCATTGAAATATTTTGTAAAAATAAAACGTTGCAAATATCAAAAATGTTTTTTGACTATCCCGGTATGTGCTCCAGTGCTTCTAATTCTTCGAAAATAATCGTCAGCCACTTAAATTAGTCGAAGTCGAACTTTTACTTTGACCTATGCACTGTAGAGGGTGCTTCTTACGATAATTAGTTCACTGCAGAGGGCGCTTTTGTTGATTTTTAGCTCGACGTTTTCCTCCAGAGGGCGCCCAACTGTCATCTACAAGTGAGACAAATTGTTTTCAAACTTTTTGCTGCGTTGCGCAAACACTGACTAAATACAATCCAATATTTTCAATTATCTGTGCACACGAGAATGAGCTCAAACTGCACTGATCAAATCCGCTAATAAACCTAGCCAATAAAAAAAAATTACTGGCAAACATGGGGGTTTTCCACGTGACGGGATGCCAGGTACTTCTTGTGGGTAGTACCCCCCTGTTTGAGCGCGATTCTGCGCGAAATATAAACTACCAAAAGAAAGAAAACAAAAAAAAACTAACGGCAGTCAAAGCTCGGGTACTTGTCCGATCCCTTTCTTCCGACGCACCACCCTCGAACCCGGACGCACTATTAGTTTAAAGGTGAATGCGAGGGTTGTTTATGGCGCAAAGAAATAAATAGGATCAAATAAAACTGCAAGTCCAGGGGAAGTTTATCGCCTGATTACCAAGCGGCACGTCAAGGTACCAACATGATAGTGGGTTTTTACTATCATTATTAACATTGTAAAAAAACAGTATGTACTAAATCATCAGTCATGTATATTCACTACGAAATATTTTATAAAAAATTAGAAAATAATACAATACACCAACTGTATCGCATGGGCATTTAAACAATATGTGAGAAAAATACATAATTAGAAAGGAAGGAAAATTAAAAACAGGTCTGTATTCAGTTTCAAACGGAATTCTGGTGCATTGAAACTCAGAGTAAACCAGCAAAATGTAAAAAAACAGTATGCCAATATATTTTGAAAAACTTCCGTTTAACATACAGAAGCAAGAATAAATTGAAAGTCATTCCAAATATACATCTTTAAACGCATGTTTCAGTATTTATTAACCTAATATTATGCTAGAATCTTTTATATAGTATGTACAGAACCGCACTCTAATTCAAACGGAACGTTCCACGTGTATTAGTAGTAAACTAGTTGAATTGAATCCCTTAAATTAACCGTGTTTATACAGCGTAAAAACTCATTCAAGTTATTCTGATGAAATGACACAATAAAACTTGAGCCAGTTTACAAAGTCTTGTGTAGGCCCAAAGTGTCTTTCAGCAGCTGGTTTCTGAGTTGCCAAAGAGCCGCCACCACGTTATCGTGTTGATCAGCCCGTTTCCCCAACCAAGTGGTAACATGGGCCAGTTTTTCCGGATCAGGGGGCGCACATGTTTCGGGTGTTGCGTGCAAAGTGCGCTCCCAATTCGTTATGTGCTTTTGGTCCGCACTCAAACCCTCGATGTATCTGTAACAAAACAATTACAGACGGTGATCCATTGTAACACAGAACACGAATACTGTGCGTTTTTAGGTCGCATACTCACTTAATGTAGGCTTCAGAATGTAGAACTCTTTGCGGTCGGGGAGGGACCGAAATGAACATGGGATCGGCAGTCTTTTGCGCAGCGGCCGCAGCAACTGTAGAGCTTGACGCAGGGGCTGCATTGAAATTAATTAGATTAGTTTCACTCAATCAACATTCAAACAAACATCCAGCACCCTCACTAGGTCACGACTAAATAAGTTTTCCAGTGATGAGTTTCCAATGAAACCGAGCTACTGATTAAAATGATAGTAGATAGATAGATAGATAGATGATAGATAGAACGCAAACAAGCTAAACTAGTCACTGGTTGAACAACCATACTCTACTTCTACCGACACTCAATTACCTGCCACAATTACAGATGTATAATTCACTGGGGTGGTTATGAATGTACTAGCACTAGCAGCTATCCAGGAAATGAGACAATGAGTTAATATTTACGCAGGAGCGTCGTTAAAGATAATGGGAAGCGCTTTTCCACGTGGATTTTTTCAAAACAACACTACACTCACCAGATACAGCTGCTGCAACACTAGGCGTGACGGATGAAGTGGTAGACAAGCGGCTAAGAGCCGCCACTTTACTAGAAGGCTTGAAATTCCTGAAGAAACACATTCCAATTAGTTTGCAGTGAATTTTACGACCAACTGTCCACTTACTTGCTCCTACTGTCCGGTGGGATACTTCGTCCATTGCCCTTATTGATGTGCATGTCCCGAACGTGCCGAATGAGCCGCGTGATGTTCGGGAACGGCTGCAGATTTTTCTTGGTCAAACGCGAACAGTTGCGCCACTTACACTGAAGCTCTTCTCCAGGATGGTCCTAAAATGTTATAATCAGCAATCCAGCTCGTGCCACACCCGTCCCCAATCACCTGGTAGTACTTTTGGACATGTCCCTGCGAGTCTTTGGAGTCTTTGACCGAGTGCTCTACGCAGTCGCTCAGTTCTTCAAACTGGTAGTCGCACTCCTCCCATTTGCATTCGAAAACCTGCATCAAAAGCCAGTCAAGACCAGCAGGACGAACTGGGACTGATCCTTACCATGTGCTCTTCTTGTTCAGCAAGCACTTGCGCTTTGGATTCTTCGTTCAACTTGGAGGCGCGCTCTTCCCACACTTGCTTTTCCGTAGTAGCCAGAGCCTTCCATTCCGAGCCAACTATGCGGGAAATGTCTCCGAATTTCGATTCGGGATTGTTCTGAACAACTTGCTTGCGCACCTCGCGCGAATACAGAATATAACCAGTGATGACCTTGTTCTTAGTCGGCTTCTATTTGGGAAATGAAAAGGGAAAACAACTAAAGTTTTGGCACAAGAAAACTCGAGTGCAACGGTTAGTAAATGAGTACCTAGAACATGTAGGAAAGCATTAGTTGATGGACAACGTGTATGAGTGCGTGTTGAAAAGCCGCTCAAATCGATTAAATTTCGACACTCATGGAATATCGGAACGTAAAACCAACATATAACATTAACTGGTACCACCATGCATCTAAAGTACATGTGCTAAACGAATGTTTATAAGCAACTTTGTAAAGGAACACATTTACATCTCACACAGCAAAATTAAAAACAATGATATTAATAATTTGAGAGTTTGAAAATGGCCCCACTTGGGGCAACAGAACAGGACAGAACAGGGCCTGACAGCAAACGTGCCTGTCTCATCCCAATGTTCCTCCGCAAATGGGACAATTCACAAAGTCTTACCTTTTTGGTGGAAGTAGTCGCTTGGGCGGTTGGCGCTGGACTACTAATGTTAGTAACAGGGGTCATGAGGATACTGTTAACCGCGGCCGGTATCTCTCCCGACCCCACTGAGGGCGGCCCGCCATCCAACGAATCCTCCATCACGATATCGATGTCCGCCAACTTTGTAAGTGTAGGCGAGGCCTCCTAGAAAGGGTTGTTTTGTAATTTCAGCCCCATCGTGCCAACGAGGTAAGCAAGGGTTTCAGATCCGAAAATACTTAGCCCCCACATAGCAGCCACATTCAAATCGCAATCTACATATTAAAAAATTTACTGTTGTACACCTTCTATGGTATGCAGAATTGATGGCCGTTTTTAGAAACATCAACAAAAACATTATTAAAGATGCTACAGGCCCATAAACGGCCGCGTACTCTGAAGATGCCTTCTTGGCAACATTTTCTAAACGATTTATCGAGAACCGAAGTTTTTCTGCGCTGATTCAGCTGGATCCTAATGCACACAACCGGCATTGTTTCGTAAACTAATTTTCCTAGAAAACAGTCCGTTCTAATGGAATGAAGAAACGCCTTTTCTAATTGCACACGATTCAGTTCAGTAATTTAATTCTTCCGGAAACACGCGCAAATCCTGTAGAAAATTGTGCAAAAAATCATCTTCAGAGCATCCCGACATAATTGGAGGCGATTGTAATACTTCCATATGAAGAGATCTGTACAAATGTAGCCAATCAAATAAAAAAATCTTCTGCCCTTTATACAGAGTGTCCCGTAAGCACATGATCAAAAGGGCACACCGACATTGTTTGACTCAAAAGAAGACGACCTGACCGAAGTTTTGGCAAACCAGACCAAGATGAACTAATTATTTTAAGAAGCTCAAGTAAGCCACTTCAATGATTTGCACATTTGCATGTCTTGGCCACACTTTGTACTTTGCCGGTCTAAAACCGCTACTGTTACACAGTAAATAACAGCAAAAGAATAAAAATCCCTCAATTGGAAACTAAATATGAAACTCTGACTGGGAAAAACCCCATCAAGATGAAACTTGATCATTGCAGTCTTGAACCGTAACGTGACCTTTCAATCGGCTGCTAATCAGGAAAATGGAAAGTGTAAATTAATGATCTATTAATAAACCAGATCAAGAACAGGCTGGGGAAGGAAACCTTCTAGGGGCACGACTAAGGTAATATTTGTATGGGGATTAAAAATACATTCTCAAATCACCACTGCAATCAACAAATGAACACTGGGGAACCTTTCCAGGCAAAGTACACCATAGGCTGGCGAATTTGGTGATGTGCAAGCGTAAAGATAAAAATATATTATATTGTATACAGCTTATACAAAGCCAACGCCTTGGAGTGCGCATTTATTAAAAAGTTCACTCCCCAACAAAGAACAACCGAATACATTAAAACAGACCGATTGTTTTGCAATTTTACAATGAATGCTGCACAAAAGCCCATTAATGGCAAATGCAAATCGGGAAATTAAAATTAGAAGTCTCAAGTTTCGCCCAAACTCTACATCCTCTGAGGGGACACACAGATACTCACTGTAATGCTGAACGATGTACTATCCATTGACTGATCCATTATTAAACTATATACACAACAACTCACTTCACATACTTTTGAGGAAAAAACCAGTTTTCAGGACTTTTTCTGGAGATTTTGTCAAAAATTCCAAACCAGCAAAGAAATTGTGAAAGAACAATTTTCAATGACGGAGGAATTTTGACAAGTGTCTTGTGGCAGGCAATGTTGCCAACAGCAAATCGACACATCACCCAAAAGAACTTAATCATACTAATTTCCCCTTATCCACTGCATAAATTTGCAGATAGCTTCGGTAATTAAAGTACTATAGGCAACAGCGATAGAATTGGCCCGTCAAATGAGAACAATGGCGTTGGTTTCGCGGTCGTTAGTTAACACAAAGACTTAAAATCCCGTCGTGCCGACCATTGATTTGAGTCGCTTCGGCATCCCAACTGAATTATATTTTCTATTTTAACTTAAAATGTTGCATTGTTTATAAAATTTAGATCAAATTTATTCCTGGGTTTCAGTCATTTATTGTCTCTATTTATCAATCCAAATACGTTTCGGTGTATTTTTCCACCATCATCAGTTTTTATGTGTAGCGTTG